CTCTGCCTCAGTGAGGAGGGGAGGTGTTGGCCGGGAACGTGGGGTGGTTTGGAAGGAGCAGGGCAGGGCACGGGGGGGACGCCGCAGCGAGCGAAGGCCTCGCAGGTCTGGCATGTGCTTATGTGGCCAGGCCTCTCTGAAAGCCCCAGACGCTGCTGCTTGCCAGGGAAGGAGGTCTGGCCGCTTGGAGAGGGTCAGGAGGGGGCGGAGATAACAGCCGCGGCGGCCTGCACAGGGGGGGCCTCCCTTGGGCTGCTGGCAGGTGGTCCGGCCCCGGAGTGAAGTCACTCTCGGGGAAGGCTTTTGGCAGTACAGAATCTGACATCCTGTGTCTGGTTCAGAAAGAGAGAGAGAGAGTGTGTGTGTGTGCGCGCGTGCGCGTGCATGTGTAGACACACACTTATTGCTCCTGAAGTGGACCCAAAATTGGTGGAGGGGTCGCGGGCAGAAAAACTCTGTTTCCTTCCTGTTCGTCCTTGTCACAGCTTCTGGTCAAGGCACAGGAGGGCGGAGCCAGCTTTGACCGGTCCGCAGAGAGCAGCCGGCATGCTCCAAGGACGTGGGCTCTGAGCGGGGCGTGCAGTCCGTTTTCATCCTCGAATATTTGGAAGCGATCGCTCTCTGGTGCCGAACATCCCTGGACGTGTGTATTGTCTTTGAAACAACCTCCGTAAGCTCAGGAAAAAGTGCTTATTCTGCCTTCTCCTTAGTGACCCGCACCAGACTGTCACATGTGATTATCTTGGTTTCCTGGTCCTGAAACGCTGAAGCAGAATCCTGAGCTGGAAGGGAACCAGTGGGTTTTCCTTCCCCTCGTCAGGAGCCCACACACACCAGACCAGACGGTCACAGAAACAAGAGACGTGGGATTGTTCTGTGGTTCTGACACAGCGGCCACGTTCCTGCGGAGTTACATCATGAGAAGCACTTTTCTCCTGCAGTGTTTTGGTTTCCAGGGAGGCGTTGGAAGCATGAGCGAGTGTGAGAGTGTGTGTGTGTGTGTGTGTGTGTGTGTGTGTGGGCTTGCGCACTCACGCGTAAGAGGTGAGAGAGGCAGGGGAGGGAGGGTGGACAGATAGGGTTTTGGGGTGTGCAGATTAACGTGGCCAAGCTCAGAAAGCCGATGCACTTACCTTGATGCCAGACTGCCTCCCAGTGCCGCAGGGGACACAGTCAGCGCGGGTGTGTCCCCAGTCACAGCGTGGTTTCCCTCCGCCCCAGTCTCCTCGTCCGTAAAGTGGTTTTGTAAAATGCATGTAAATCCTTAGCCAGAGCCTGAAACGAAGTCAGTGCCTAGTAAATTGTCAGGGCGACAGTGGGGATCGGACTGCGCGTGAGCTCCTTGAGGTCAGGGGCTGGCTTGACTCCTCTGCACAGCGCAGACTTGGGAAAAGATTCGCCGAGGTTGCTGAGCAGACGAGGGAGTGAGCAGGAGGCAGGGTGCTGTGGCTGTGGCTGTAGAGTCAGGGCCATCCGCTCAAACAAACTCCGCGCCCGCCTCCCTTGCCACTGTGTCCCCAGTGCCGTGTTAATTTAGGACGGACGTGGGGCTGGGGTGAAGTAAGAAGGGGAGACCTACTCCCTTGTGCTCTGGGCACACTGGCATCTCCGGCCCCTTCCCGGCTCCGTGCTTCCACACGTGCTCGGACCGCCTCCAACACCTCCACTCGTCCGTGAAGACCCAGCTCAGCCGCTCTTCTCAGTGATGTTTTCTTTGACCCCCAAGGTGAACCTGAGATCTAGGAGGGCAGGGCTGTGTCATCTTCGACTCTGGATCCCCAGATCGGGTCCCTCTCAGGGGATGGGTGTCGAGTGAACAAATGAATGAGCCGCTGCTGCGTGGGGCACTTGGGCCACCATCTGCCCGGTCTCAACGGCCCTGAGCTTGGAAGTCGTCTTCTCTTTTCCCCGCTGCTCACGTGAGGTCCCCCCGTCTTGTCTGTTCCACCGCCACACCCTCTCCCAGATCCAGCAGCCCACGCCATCGACCTCTCTCACCCCCACCGGCTTCACTGCTCCAGTCCTCGGCTCTCCCATCCAGATCTCCCCACGGGAGCCACGGCGATCTTCAAAACAGATCCGATCGTGCTCAGAGCCCAGTAAAACCCACACTCCCCACCATGGCCTGCAGGGCCCTCTACGCTCCGGCTCCTGCCGCTCTGTCCACTGCGTCCCCCGTCTGAGGTCCGGCCCTGACCGTCTGCCTCCATCACAAGGCTGCTAAGCTCATGTGCGAGCCGGGGCCGTTGCACTCGCTGCTACGCTCGCTGCAGAGAACCCTCCCACTGGTGTTTATGGCCGACTCCTTCCTAAGGTTTCAGCTCAGACGTGGTGTCCTCAGAGAGTCCTTCGTCGACCACGCTGGCAGATGCGTCTCCCCGCTACTTTATTTCTTCACGACGTTTCCCATGATCTGGAGTTATTTTCTTTGTTCACGTGTATTTTCCGACGCCTGCCCTGGAGTGTAAATCCTGGGGGAACAGGGCCTGCTCACTTCATGTCCTCGGTGCCCGGAACAGGGCTTCTCGACCAGGCATCTCTGAATTCGGGTGGGCAAAACATGACATCTTTATTTTCACAGACTTCTAACTGAAATTTGGCCTGTCTCTCAGTTACTAACATAGACAATGAATCATAATAATAGTTACAGTACCTCGGACTTCGTCGCCGATAAAAATCATAGGTATTATCATATCGCACAGTGACCATGGGCATCTCAGAATGCCCGTGCTCATAACCACTTTGACATTATGGTAGTTATTGGCCCACCAACAGGTCTTGTTATTTAATTCAGTAATAAACACATGTGTGCCCATACACGAAGAAATACATATACTACATAGTACATTACAAACTGCTTTTAAAGTCATTTAATGACTGTATTTTAATATAATTTGTTTCCTGAGTAATCCTGTGTAATTGGTTTCCTGTGTAATTTTATATATGCATTTAAAAACATTTCTGTGAGAAGGGGTCCACGGGCTTCACCAGACTGTCAAAGGGTCCAAGGCACAGAAGCGGTTAGGGACTCCTGGCTCCTGAACGCAGACGCTCAGGGAACGGACGGGCAGATGCACGAGGAGCAGATGAGTGACCGGTGCGCACATCTTCCCCCGTCGCAGAGGAGCCCCCGTGTTTCCAGGGCCAGGTTTCTGGTGTCTTGGCATGAACTGGGCGTTTAGGAAATAGCCTTGGTCAAGGTCTCTGGCAATCTAAGTCCGTGACCCTGAGAAGGAGGCACTAGTCGCAGCCCCGGGTGGGACCCAGGCCCACCGCTCTTTGTATGTTAGATGCAGCTCTCTCTTCAGCGTCTCTCTGTGTCTACCTCCTCCCCGCTCTGACCTACCTGTCCCCACGGGATGGCCGACCTCTACTCCTAAGGGTTCAGCACCTCAGTTTGCCTGACGGGCAGAGTTGGGGATCTCAGGGTCCTGCGTTACCAATCAGGTGGCCACTCTGGTCCAAGCAGTCTGGCCTGGAAGGCTTGGTTCCCATCTTCAGGGGCCCTCCCGTGGTGGAGAAGGGGTTCTCGGAGTGGCCTGAGTCGGGCTGACCCCCTCGGTGGGAGTCTGGTCCCTGAGGAGGAGTGAGGGCTTGGCCAGGCCTCAGGGACTGATGTGGGTCAGTGCGGGTTTCTCTGGGCCCCGGACAGGGTGTTCCATTCTGCTTGGTCCTCTTTTTATTTACCACGTGAAGAATTACTTGTCTGAGAAGCACTGCCCATAAATTAGGCTGTTTTTGTCAGTGGCGAGACATGCAGGAGTCTGGCTCAGGCCGCCCCTAGGAAGCATAATGGGTAGACAGAGTCAAGAGCAAATTAACACCTTCTTTTCCATCTGCCTCTAGGCCATCCTTCCCAGTGACCTTTGGACTTGACCTTCCTTGCTTTCCAGGATTACCTTTCTTGACAGGACAGATCCAGTATGTCTCAAATTAAATTCATCTTTCCTACACATCTGCTACACCCCTCTGTTCCCTTGCTTGATGAAGGACATGGCCCCCTCCTGGAACCTCAGCCAGAAACCGCTCATCCTCAGCCCGTCCTCCCTGACCCCCTCGGCACCCTCTCTTCAGTCTCTGTCTTCACTGTCCCCGTCTGTCTTCTCTTCTCTGACCCCCCATCTCCTCCCTGGACGATTGCCGTCGGCTTCCCTCCGGTGCTTCCCTGCTCTCCTGGTCATCTTCCTGCTAAAAAGCTGGTGCGGCTGCAGTTCTGCCGTGTCCGGTGATGTGACAAATGCCCCTCTGCAGTTGTGTACACATTGGCACGAGAGCAGCTGGTTTCGCTTTGGGTGGTCCAGGCGTGATGATCAGATGAAGTGAAATTTGAGCCGCGTCTTGAATGGTGACAGGCTGGTGGCGCAGAACGAGCAGACGGTCCAAAGCACGAGTTACTCGACCTCTGTGCCTTAACTTAAATGTAAGGTGGGTGTAATAACGGGACCTACCTGAGGACCGTCGTGAGGGTTGGGTGAGTTAAATTACGTGTAGTGCATAGCGTGTGGTGAGCATCACACAGGTGTTAGTCCGTCACTCACATTATTACTGACGAGACCGGCCGGTGCCCAGGGAGATGCAGTCGCTCGTCTTCTTCACCTGCCTTCATTTTAAAACAAAGGTCACAAACCCTAGTGCCTGCAGGGCCAGGCACATGCCCAAGTGGCTGTACAGGCCAGGTGGGCGGCCGCCTCTCGGCCCAGCCGATGGTTGCCGTGTGGGAATGTGGGCCCAGGACTGCCAGGTATTTCTATTGTCAAGAAGAGTCAGAAATCCAGAATTCTCTGTGCTTTACACATCGGCGATTAATTTAAAAACCGTTGAAGTCTGTGCAAGCCCAACAAACTACATCTGTGGGCCACGTTTAGCCCAAAGGCCCCTGGCGTGTAACCTTTCCTCAGAGGTCTCCTCTGGGGCCATCTGCTCAAGTCTGCGCAGCTGTTCCCCAGGGGTGGGGGCGAGGCGTACGGAAGGCTGGTTTAACGAGCCCCTTTGCCTTGCAGGACTTCTGCAGACAGGTTATGTCACCGTCGGAGGCTGCCCTGAAGCTCCCTGTGGCCCGGAGACTATGTACAAGAGGAATGGTCTGATGGCTAGCGTGTCGGTCACCTCCGCCACTCCACAGGTACAGAGGTTTTGGGGGCGGGGCCGGGGGTGGGGGCTTCTTGCAGCCGACCCGGGCCCCAGCTGAGCCGCGGACAGCAAGGCTGCAGGGCTCGTGAATGCCCCCATTCTTCGCGCTCTCGAGGCCCCTGGCCGCGCCAGGCGTGAGATTTGGGAGGCGGTCAGCCTCGAGGATCAGTGTGTTTTCCGAAGTCGTTCAAAGAAAAGCAAATACCTGCCCAGTCCAGCCGTAGTAAGCGCCACATTCCATTTTGGTGGCAAGAAGAGAGCAGACGTTTCCCAAGAAAAGCCACCGCCGATGGTAAATAAGTCCCACACTCCGGAATGAAGTCAGACAGGAGGGGTTCCAGCTGGCCCTGGGTTCCTGTTTCCCTTGCTCAGTAGGAAACGGCCGAGAGGACTGGTGGTCTGAGTGGTCGGGGCCAGGGCGCCTGCCCCGGGGGCTCGGGAGTTTGCTTTCCAAGTTCTGTAATGAACAGAGGCATGCAGGGGTGGGTGTCACCTGAGGCCCAGGGATGCCACAGTGTCCAGTGCGTAATGCCTGGCTCCTGCGATAGCCTGGCAGCGGTCAGTGTTCTTTGCTCACAAGGCCCACATGGTCGAGCTGGGCGTTTGAAATGATCCTGTGTAATCAGCTCGAAATTCACAGGAACTAATTCATTTCTCATAAACCTTTCAAAACATTCCTTCTTTTGATCTCTGGTTCTGAAAGCAGACTTGTGGGGACCTTTTAAAATTCCCCAATGGCACCAATATAGGTTTAAATAAAGTTACTGCATCATCGCCCCTGCCACCGCCACCACCTCATGTATTTGAGGCAATTTTTGATTAAATAAAGCCCCTTTTTGAGTATATTTGGAGCAGATGAAATGGATGTTACAGGAAAATTTAAAACCTGAAATCCCAAGAATGGACTCTGGTAACTAGACAGATCAAACTCTCGTACATTCCATCTAGATTAAAACTTGTTTCCTGTCTAGTTTCTCTGTGTGTATATATACACATATGTGCTCACACACACGTATATACTGTGTATATGTGCACATATGTGTACATATACATTTACGTGTACATGTGTATCCAGAACGTGACACACACATACACGTATATACTGTGTATATGTGCACATTTGTGTATATATACATTTACGTGTACATGTGTATCCAGAACGTGGTAGGTACTTGATCAATATTTGTCGAATGAATGAATGAACACATGTATAATCGAAGTGCTCAATAAATTTTGGTGGCTGAATGACACGCTTACACGCACACGCACCCCTAATTAGTACACCAGACACGCTTGCGTTTTCTATAGGCATTACCTCCCTTAGTCCTCACAATAACCTCATCGGATGTGGGCCGTTGTTTCACCCCCAGTTTATAGATGAGGAAACCAAGGCAGGGAGAGGTGACTAAACTGGCTTCAAACACACAGCTGGTCAGCGGTGGGTGGGGATTCAAAGCCAGGCTTCTGTGACTCCAGCCAGTGCTCCTAACCCTGATGGAGAAGTCTGCCCTGCCACCCGGTTTAGCCTGCTCCCTGGAGGGCGGCTGCGGAAGTGCAGAATGATCTGTGCGTATCATCCGCTTACGGTCTGCATGTAAGACTGAGGGGTAGAATAGACCACCAGCTCCAGAGGCGTTCAGGATTGACCTTTATTACTTTTCAAAAGTTTAACACAGATTCTCCTTGGGGGAGACGGTCCCATCGGCCATGCAGCTTTTATAATCGCCACGCCTGAGCGGCAGGTATTTGCTTTTCTTTGAGCCCACCCAGGCCCCTTGAATCAGCATCTCTGATGGAGGGTCTGTGTGTGTGTGATGTGGGGGGCAGGGGGAGGGTCTGCCAGTTGCCGTGTGAGCTTCACGGTATATAACCTACCCCGCAGCCCCGGGGAGGGGTCCCAGTAGTGCCGATTCACAGATGTTAACAGACTCAGGAAAACGCAGTAACTCGCCTGAGGTCAGGCAGCAGCTAGCGTGGAGCTGGCCTTTTAGCCAGGCCTCTCTGACTCACGGCTCTCGCCCGCCACGATGTGCTGCTTCTCAAGGTCACCTGAGAGCTTTTGGTAGACTCGTTTGTAAAACCTTTAAATGACACAGGCGTATTGAAATCTACAGGTTTAAGTTTATGCTCCTCCTTTTAACCTCACATTTTCAGTTGTTGACTATTGGTTTCCCTCACTGGCCTAGTTTGCAATAAGATTGCAAAGTTTTTCCAGATAGACCCATAAGAAAGAGTGAAATAAAGGGGAATTAATAAAAGCGTATTCTCTAAATCCCAGTCCAAGATGTTGAGCTTAATGGAAACCACAAAATCCCTCTTCACGGACTGAGACAAATAAAACGATTTATGAATGGGGCACAGTTTTGGGGTGGTAAACGTGATTGGTTCCCCAAAGTAGAATTTGATGGAATTAAATTGAAGAGAAGGTATGTTCAGGATTCTGGGATCCCCACGCTGTTGTGTTTCATGCAACTGGTCGCGTTCGGGGGGCTTACACTTGCCCTTTTGTGGGGGACCCTTTCTTGGGGGGCTCACAGTGTTCTCCCTGATGAGGGGCTCTCCTAAATATAACTCACGCTTCCTCAACGCCCTAGCAGGCTTTGAATTTAAGTGGCCCGCATGTGAAAAGAGCTAGTTTCATGTTTTGTGAAATCATTTCCTGCAGTGACTTCAAGGAGAAAAAAAAACCCAAAAAACGTAAAACCAGGCAATGTTTGAAAGACATAACAAAACTGGTGGTCTCCTCAGGCCTCCTGAGATGCGAAGGCCTGTTCTCTCTGAGGGAGGAGAGGGCTGTGTTTTTGACTCCCCCACCACCCAGCCAGCTGGGGGCAGTTGGGTTGCAGTGATTGAAGTTACGCGTCCCGGGATCAGAGAGATACAAACCCAGGTTCACTTTCTGGCTCTTCAGTTTGCTACTCCCTTAGCTATAAAATGGGAGCAGTAACAGTGTGTACTCAGAGAGTTGTTACGAGAATTCAACAAGATCATGCACACGAAGCGCTTAGCACAGCGCGTCCTCTGTGCTGAGGCGCGGCAGGCAGTGACTCGGGGTCATCGGGACAGACACTCAGGCGGCCCCATCTCTCCCCGTCCTCCCCAGGGCAGCAGCAGCTCCGACTCTCTGGAGGGCCAGAGCTGCGACTATGCCAGCAAGAGCTACGACGCTGTCGTCTTCGACGTCTTGAAAGTGACCCCTGAGGAGTTTGCTGTAAGTAACAGAACCGACGTGGGTGCTGGGCCCACAGCTGGGTGTTGGGCGGGGGGAGTCACTGCTCAGGGCTTTTTGCTCAGGTTGGAAGCAACCCATATACCCAACAACAGGGGATTGTTGAATAAAATGTTCTTTATGAAATACCTTGCAGGATTATTTCAATCTAGAAATGAACCAACTTGGGAGGCACACACAATCTATATAAATAGCAAGTGAGAGGAGCAGCTTACAGCACAATTTATAGAGAATAATGCCATTTTTAAAAACCATGTACAGTGCACACATATTTATAATTGTATAAGAAAAGGTCTAGGTTGGATGTTTACGTACTCATAAATATCTGAATAGATACAGCCAACATTTGTTTACTGTAGTTTCTGGTTACAGGATTCTAGGTAATCGGAATTTAATTTTTCTTCTTTTTATTTATCTGTACTTTCTACATTTTTACAGTGACCATTTTCTGCAATGATAGATATTATTTGGGCAGTGATAATGGTACATTTTTAAAAATTGTTTTTTCCTCAACCAGCGAGTTGCCGCTGGTCTGCCCGGGGGGCCGTTCTTTGGCGGGGGAGCGACAGAGGGGCAGAGCCTGCTCCCCGTTGGGCCTCGCCTTGGGTTCCTCCTTTTGTGGTTTGAGGGCGGAGGGAGCACGGTGGCCCCGGGGATGACCTCCATCCCGACTGTGAGCGCTGTCCCGGGGCTGTGCTGCTTCGCAGAACCATGGACTGTCCCCCTGAACACTCCCTGTGCCCACTTCTTTTCTGTCCCCACTGCTGTAGCAGGTTTCATGCTGCCCGGGGTGCCGTGGGAGCCAACTGGGCCCCATCTCATTGCCCTGTCACTGGCTCCTGTGTTTCCTTTGTGCCAGGCCATGCGGAGCCCGGCACCTGCGTCTCTCCCTTCAGGATGTCTGTGGGACCCTTTCAAAACCCGAGGAGGACCCTAGCAGCTCCCTCTTCCTGCGGTCAGACCCGGAGTTGCTCCCAGGCCTCCGGTGCCCACTGCCTTCTGGCCCGGCCTTGTCTCCTGCCCAGCCTCCTTGCCGTGCCGCAGCTCTCGCTCTTCCCCAGACTGCCCTGGCATCCCCCAGGGCCCCGCGCTTATTCTTCCTTCAGTCCTAATGGCTCTTCTTCACGTCTCACTCTGTTCAAACGTCAGTCTTCGGAGGGGACTTTCACAGGCCGAAGTGGCATCTCTCCATCTCCCTCTGCCCTTATTCTGCTGTCTTGTTTGTGACTTGTTACCACCCAGCATTACATTATTTAGTAATATTTTCGTGGTATCTCTTTTCCATGGGAATATAAACTCCCGAAAGACAGGAACTTAAACGTGACTTTGCCCCCGTGCCCAGAATAATGCCTTGCTCGTAGTAGGTGCTCAATCAATACACGTTGCCTGAAAGAATGCAGTCCTCAGAACAACCCGACGAGGCAGATTATTAGCTCCTGATTTTCTAATCAATAAAGTAAGGATCTAAGAGATTAATTTTTCGTGCCTGAATCAGGGGCGGGCACAGCCAAGTCTGAAACCTTCGCCTGCTCTTGTTTGCTTAGCTGGATGCTGACGACAGGGCAGCCCGTGTGTGTCGGGGTCTTCTGCTAAATGTTGTACGTGTGTTTCTGATTTGCTTCTCACGACAGCCTTGTCCATTAGGTACCCTTATTATTCCCAGTCTGCTGATGAGCGAGCCAGAGCTTAGAGAGGAAAGTCACCTCTTCACACAGCACGCGGCACCCTGTATCTGAGATTTAAAACCAGGGCTGTTTGACATTCCAGACCAGCGGCATCCAACGGAAATATAATCCAAGCCACACTTGCAATTTAAAATTTTCTAGCAGCCACATTAAAAAAATAAAATAAAATTACTTTAAAAATATATTTTGTTTAACGTAGTATATTTAAAATTTCATCATTTTAACAAGTAAGCAACATTTTGTATTCTTTTTTCAAAGTAAGTTTTCAAAACTCAATGTGTATTTTTAAACTTAAAGTGCTGGTGACATTTCAGATGCTCAGTAGCCACATGTGGCTAGGGACCGCCATATTGGGCAGTGCAGGGTTAGTCTGTACTCAGCCACAAAGTCGTGTGGTCTCTCCTTTAGGACAGGGGTCCCCAACCTCCAGCCCATGGACTGGTACCCGTCTGTGGCCTGTTAGGAACCGAGCCGCACAGCAGGAGGTAAGCGGCAGGCGGGCGGGCAAGCGAAGCTTCCTCTATCTGCAGCCGCTCCCCAGCGCCGGCATCACCGCCTCAGCTCCACCTCAGATCATCAGGCCTTAGATTCTCGCAGGAGCACCGGTCCCTGGTGCCATAAAAGGTCGGGGACCGCTGCTTCAGAAGACTTCGTGGACCTTGCTGGCTGATGGCTGAGCTTCTCTCTTCTATTTGCAAAGGAATGAAGCAGCGGCGAGGTTTACAGACCCCTCTGCAGTTGCTCCCTGTGTGGAATGACAGAGGGTTAGGCTGCTCCTGGAACAGCATCGCCCAGCAGGAGTCCTTGGTGAGACATTGGTCCCAGGTTTCTGGTCCCAGCCCCAGAGCGTGGCGTGGCTTGGCTTGCCGCTGGCCAGTTTTCGGAGCCGGGCAGACAGCAGGGAGGTTGGTGAATGCTTTGAGGGTTCGGTGCTAAATCGCTGGCTGCCCCTGCCAGAGTCAGTGCGTCTGTAGCTCCAAGTCCCCTCGAGTCTTTGGTCTCTGGGGAAGCACTGAAGTTGCCAGGTGTTGGAATTAAACCAGACCCCCTGGTATTTTAGTTTTCTGTCGAATGATATGAAAAAAAGAAAAAGCCAGACACAAAATCCATTAAAAATCATTGAAGCGAGTCTAGGAAGATTGTGGGAGCAGCCTAGTTTTTAATTCTCTCTTAACCCCACATAAAAAAAACATCCACAAACAACTAGACAGCAGACTCTGAAACACATTAACAATATTTACAATAAGACTAGATGCCAAGTTATCCCTGTCAAACCAAAAATACAAGCGGCTGGGGTTACGCCACCATCAACAAGACCTGCAAAGTATCAGCCTCTGTAAAGGAGAAGGCAGAAGAAAGTATTGGGGCATTCGACAGACTTGAGAATTGGAGAGCCGCAAAATTTCCAACAGGAATTCACTGGAAAGTTTGGCAGGTCAGTGTGAGAACAGCAACTGAAATTGAGAGGGAGTTTGACCACTCAAATAATGGATGGGCGGAAGAGATCTGTGGACTAGCCACTATAATCTCTTGACACCAACCAGCCAGGGCTCACTTCCAGGACAAGCCTCCACGCCAAAGAGAAGTTCAGTATGGGAGTGGAAACAGAGTGATCAGGATTGGGGAAGTTATGGTTCAGGAAAAAGGAGGTCTAAATAAAAGGGAGAGGGAGAGGGAGGGAGAGAGAGAGAGAGAGAGAGGGAGGGAGGGAGGGAGGGAGGGAGAGAAAGAGAGAGATCTCAAAAAGCAACTGGGTGAAAATAACCAAAAGGAGAGCTATGTGAAGTTAGGAGAGATACCCTGAACGATGTTTTCCTCTAAAAAGTTCAGGAAAACTAATTTTACACAAAAATAAGCAAGAGGAAATTATTGATGTCAAATCTTTCAGTTTCAGGAAAACTAATTTTATATAAAAATAAGCAAGAGGAAATTATTGATGTCAGATCTTTCAGTTATTATAAGAAGAAATGAGTAAGGAGAGACTCCCTATAGATAATGAAAGCGTGCTAGAAAGATATGCCACAAAACATAAAAACTGTAACTCTATTTCAAGATAAGCTAAGAGACGTTAAGACCACACTGTTACGCATAAACAGCATAAACCTGAAGTGGAAAAATTTCAGAAATGAGGTGACAGGACTTAGGAAAGATGTGAAAACAAAAAAAATGATTTAGAAACGAAAGTTGAATTAAAAGAAACATAAGAATTGCTAAACGTAACAGAAAATGCCTTAAGGGTGGAAAATTTTTAAGATCAAAAAAAGTGGCAAATACTGAAGATGGGCAAAGAAAATCCAACATACGGATAATAGAAATCTCTGAAAGGGGAGACAAAAATGGCAAGGGAATTGAATAGATACTTAAACTACAATTTAAGAAAACACACAGACAGACAGACACACACACACACAGGGAGATTGAAAGAGCACACCACGAAGCTGACAGTGTCCACCCAGAGTGGGCAATGCCACAGACGTAGACTTGGTAGACTACTGGATATTAAAGGAAAAGAAAATCCTCGAGGCATCTAAGCAAAATAGCAAATGACTCGTCAGAGAAATAGATTACCATGGATCTTTTCGATGAAACACTTTTTGCCAAAAGAAAGTAGAATAACAAGTCAGGGAAAGAAAAAAAATTGAGCCAAAGATTTTATAGTCAGCAAAACTGATTTCAGGTATAAAGGGCACAGATAAACTATTAGGAACATACAAGGCCTCAGAGAATATTATTCAGGTGAGCCCTTCCCGAGGAATCTACTATAGAGAGCAAGCTTCGGACAATGAAAATCGTTAGAGAAACATCACTATAAAGACTGGTGGAGAGCAGTAGACATTCAGTGACAGTAGAATTAAGACTAAATGAGGATTAAAAGGGAGAAAGCATAGTATGTAATGGCCTTATGCCCGTTCATAGGTATAATGTGACTATTATAGCATAAGGTATGAAAATGGAAGAGAGTGGAGAGAACACATATACAATTCCACAACTTTTCTCAGTAATTATAGTGCTAGTGGCAGCATTGGTGTGGTTATTCTGAGACTGTTGTGTATAATGTAGGATAAAGTAAATGGATAGTTATGGGATACTGTAACCCTTTATACCTTGTGTCCTTGAGACCAGGACTTTCGATATGGAAGAAATATCAAAAGGAGATACAGATGTAATACAGAAGAGATCAAGTAAGTAAGTTAGGAAAAAAAAGTGTTCCGAACTTGATTTTGAAGGATCAGTATGAATTCCAGGTTGTGGTCTCGATTTACCACTGAAGGAAAGGAAACCTGGGCCTCCTGGAGA